CACCTACACGGTGTGCCAGTGTCCATCATATCATATCGGGGCACGTAATTTACATCACAGTTTTGGAGAACAGTACAGCGAGAATTGGGCACACAGGTTCAGTTGAGTACAACATTTCACCCTCAGAAGGACGGACAGTCCGAGTGCACTATTCAGATATGGGAAGATATGCTATGCGCTTGTGTCATTGATTTTGGAGGTTCTTGGGATCAATTTCTGCCACTGGCAGAGTTTGCTTACAATAATAGCTACCAATCGAGCATTCAGATGGCTCCGTATGAAGCTTTATATGGGAGACGGTGTCGGTCTCCGGTGGGTTGGTTTGAGCCGGGTGAGGCTAGGCTATTGGGTACTGATTTGGTTCAGGATGCTTTGGAGAAGGTTAAATTGAATTAGGAGCGGCTTCACACGGTGCAGTCTAGACAGAAGACTTATGCCGACCGGAAGGTCCGTGATGTTGCTTACATGGTTGGGAAAAAGGTTCTGCTCAATATTTCACCCATGAAGGGTGTGTTGAGGTTCGGGAAGAAGGGCAAGTTGAGCCATCGGTATATTAGGCTTTTTGAGATACTTAAGAAAATTGGAGATGTGGCTTATGAACTTGCCTTGCCACCTAGTTTATCAGGTGTTCATCTAGTATTCCATGTATCCATGCTCCGAAAGTATGTCGGGGATCCGTCTCATATTCTGGATTTCAGTACAGTGCAGTTGAACGGTAATTTGACTTGATGTGGAGTCGATGGCTATTTTAGACCGGCAGGTTTGAAAGTTGAGGCTAAAGAACATAGCATCAGTGAAGGTACAGTGGAGAGGCCAGCCAGTCGGAGAAGCTACTTGGGAGATTGAACAGGAGATGTAGAGCAAATATCCACACATATTTGAGACTCCATGTATGATTCTAAACCCGTTCGAGGACGGACGTTTGTTTAAGATGGAGAAATGTAATGATCCGGCCGATCGTTTTGAGTATTATAACCCTGTTCCCCCATTTACTGCTCAATTTATGCTTTACAATTATTTTATGACTTACCGAGTTAGTTGGTTCGGGTCCGGAAGGATTTCAGAGTGAAATAAGACACTTAGTATATTAATTGAAAACTTAAGTTGAAAAAGTTGATAGAATATTGACTTATGTGTAAACGACCTCAGAATCTAATTCTGATAATTTCAATAGCCCCGTATGGTAATTTTAGACTTAAAAGCGTGTCTGAAAAATTATTTGGAGCTCCGTAGTGGAATTAGGCTTGAAATGGAGAAAGTCAAATTTTTGGAAAGTTTGACCGGGGTTAACTTTTTTATATCGGGGTCAAAATCTGATTCTAAAAAATTTAATAGGTCCGTTATGTCATTTATGACTTGTGTGCAAAATTTGAGGTCAATCGGACTTGATTTGATAGGTTCCGGCATCGTTTGTGGAAACTTAAAATTTCAAAGTTCATTAGGCTTGAATTGGGGTATGATTCGTGGTTTTAGTGTTGTTTGAGGTAATTTGAGGGTTCGACTAAGTTCGTATGATATTATGGGACTTGACAGTATGTTTGGTTGAGGTCCCGGGGGCCTCGGGTGAGTTTCGGATGGTTAACGGATCAATTTTGGACTTGGCATTCCAGCTGAAGAATGTTGGTTTTCTGTCACTAGTTTCCTTCTACGCGATCACATGAGAATGTCCGCGATCGCGTAGGCTTGTTTGAGGCAGTTATGATTTTGTTCTTCATGCTCGCGTGAAGAGGGACGCGATCGCGTAGCTGTGCGAGTTTGTTATTCGCGAACGCGTGAAGAAGGCCGTGTTCGCGTAGAGTAAGTGGAGTAGAAGTAGAGGTCACGCGTTTTGTGCTTCGCGATCGTGTGGACGAGTCCGCGATCGCGTAGGCCTGTGAGAGTGAGCTTTACGATCGCGTGGAAAAATCTGCGATCGCGTAGGAATAAATATAGACAGTGGACATTTGTGCTTCGCGATCGCGTGTGGTTGTCTGCGATCGCGTAGAGCAAATGACTGGGCAGAGAGTTTAAGTTCTGAAAATGGGACTTCGTCCCATTTTTTATTTTTACCATTTGGAGCTCGGATAAAGGCGATTTTCGGGAGATTTTTAGAGAAAATAAAGGGGTAAGTATTTTTAACTCAATATTGGTTAAATTACCCAAATCCATAGTTGTTTTTAGCATTTAATGGGTGAATTAAGTTGGAAAATTTAGAAAACCCTCTTGGTTTAATTTGAAGATTTGAGGGTCGAGTTGAGGTCGAATTTTGATAAAATTGGTATGGTTAGACTCATGGTTGAATGGACTTTCGGATTTTGTAACTTTTGTTGGATTCCGAGACGTGGGCCCCACAAGCGATTTTTGAGCTAAATTTCGGATTTTGTTGGAAAATTAGTATTTTCTTATGGAATTAATTTCAATAAAATTTATTGACTGAATTGAATTATTTGCGTCTAAATTCGAGGTATTTGGAGGCCAATTCACGAGGAAAAGACATTGCAGAATAAAGAATTACACGGCTTGAGGTAAGTAACAGTTTTAAATTTGGTCTTGAGGGTATGAAACCCCGAATTATGTATTATGTGATTGGTTTTGAGGTGACGCACATGCTAGGTAATGGGCGTGTGGGCGTGTGGGCGTGTACTGTAGTAATTGTGACTTGGTCAAATTCCATGGGACTGTGTAGTTGAATTATCTGTTGATATCCGTACATTCTCTATGTGTTGGGAAAAAATGAGGTGAGACTCGTATTAAAAATCATGCTTAGACATATGATGTTATTATTGGTACCCACTGGGGTCATTTCTGTGGTTGAATTATATGTTCAAACTGCAATTTCACACTCAGTCATATTTATTCATTTCATATCATATCTCAGTCTCTGTTACTATTTATTAAAATATCATATTATCAATTTTGGGCTGATTATCATGATTTCTAAGAGCCCGAGAGACCGGAGAGGTTGATGACTGAGTAAGGCCGAGGGCCTAATTGTGAGGATATTTATGGATCGGGATGTACGCCGCAGCATGTTTTTATTAATTTATGCCATGATTGGCTTGATATAGCACTTGGGCTGAAGGAGCCCCTCCGGAGCCTGCACACACCCCCAGTGAGCGCAGGTACCTACTGAGTGCGAGTGCCGAGTGCGAGTGCTGAGTGCCGAGTGATGAGTGACTGTGAGGAAAGAGTGACTGTGCGGAAAGAGTGACGGTGAGGTTGGAGTGAATGAGAGGACTGAGTGACTATTACTCTGAGAGGATACATTGATTTCATTATTTGCTGCATTTCAGCTATCATATATCACTATTTTTGGAAATTTCGGAAAAATATTATTTTCTGTTTCGGTTAAACTTGATATGAAATTTCAGTGAAATCTTAAATGTTGAACTTGAGAGCATGCCTACCCTTTTATATTGGAAAGTACTGTATTTGGACTTAGCTGAGAATCTCGTTACTACTTTCAGTTCTTTATTTATTATTGTTACTTACTGAGTTGGTTGTACTCATACTACACCCTGCACTTCGTGTGCAGATCCAGGTGATCCCGGATACAGTGGGTGTTGATTCTTTCACACAGTCGATTTTTCGGAGATTCAGAGGTAGCTGTCATGTTCCGCAGACCTTATCTCTCCTTCCCTATCCTTTTATTTATTGTATTTGATCTCAGATTATTATAGACTACATTTTCCAGACTTGTAATGAATAGATGCTCATGTACTCAGTGACACCAGATTTTGGGAGTGTGTGTATCGGTATTTGCGAGACTTGTGGATTGTGTTTAAATATTATATTTTCAAACTTAAAAAAAAAACTGTGGTTTATTGAGGTTGTGGGCTTGCCTAGTATCGAGATAGGTGTCATCACGACAATTTAGGATTTTGGGTCGTAACAGTTTTGAAGAGCTTGAACTACTTAAATTTGAATTTCTTAAGTTGCAGTTGAAAGATAGTAGAATTTCAGATTTGATTTCTGAAGTTGCATTGAAGAGATTAAACTATTTTAGATTCGAACGGGTACACTTTGTAAAGTTTTATGCAATGTGGATATAAATTCAATGGTGACCCCAAAATGGGTATATATGCAAATGCCCAAGCATTTCGCGGTCCAAAATTATAAATAGTTTATCTCCGATACATAACAATGAAATAAAGAAAAAAGGTAATATAAAATAAAAGGAATTGATATACTCCAATTAATATACAAAAATTGAAGGAAGGGCCTTTATCTTCAATATATTCTAAAATTAGAATTAAATAAATATACAACATTGTAAGTTTTTTCTTATTTGTCCCTTTCTCGTTCGTGGAAAGGACCACATTCAGAGCACTCAACTTGCACCTTCATGATATTGTTAAAGAAAAGAAGAAAAAAAACAAAAGTTCCTAACCAAACAAAGGGAAAAAAAAATGAGAAAGAGAAAAAATAGAAAGAAAAAATAAAGACAAAAAAGAGGCAATCCCACATACTTCGAACTACTTCACCGACTAATTATGAGGCATAAAAAGAATGCAATCTCCAAATCTTCCCAATCATAATCGCATTTTTTTAAAATTTAATTTATGTGGAGTAACAACGTAGAAAACTTTTCAGCGTATTTTCACTAACAATTGTAAATTATCTGACTTATTTTTCAGATTAATGATTAATTATTTTTCAGATAATTTTTTGACTTCTTTTAAGTAAAAAAAAATCTTAGAATTCGAGCTATCTTTTTTCTCCTTTGTAATCATGTCCACCACCAAGTTCATGCACAAAGATTTTTGGGATAGTATTGCTGTTTTTATAGCAACTTTAAGAAGAATCAAATGCTTAAATTCAATTCAGTCACCAGCATCATTTTGTTATACTTAATTTAGGGTAGCAGTCATCTCAACTCTTATTTGTGAGAAAAACTAATTTATGCATCGGAAATCAGAACATGTTCTAAAAGGAGGTAAAAATTAAAGGTAACAAGTCATTTTCTTAAGTTATACACCAATTTCAATTTTGCTTTCTTTTGATGTAAAGGAAGAAAGAAATTAAGGAGTAGAAAATTACATAAGATTATATGTGCAAGGTGACAATATCCCAATGAATTAAACATGAAAAGCAAAACAAAAAAAAAAATACAAATAGATGAAGCTCAACATCCTCATCTCAATGACCTGACAGACTCATATGAGAACACACCAAGAAACTAGACATCTTGGAACAGGAAGATTGAGTTGAAATTAAAATGCTAATAAAAACGTAAAACTCTACACAAATTACATCTACGAAATAAAATCAAATATTATTGGACTAACAAAGAGCTTTATATATACTCCATTAGTCGATGTTCATGCAAGCTAGCTCAATCATAAGAGAAGTTCAAATGCAAGAGCTACAAGAGAAGCAAAGACGGTCGGTACAAATATTGTAGCATCCGAGGCTGGAGCAGGTGCAGGTGCAGGCGCATCCACTGCAACTATATTTTGAATACCGGACATCGCAACCAACACGACTATGAGAACCACCAAGAAAACATTCATCTGCATTGCTTCCATTGAGATAATTTTGAAGAAATTAACAAAATTTTGAGGAAAAAAAATCACGAACAAATTGTTGAAAGAAGAAAAGAAGGCAAAAGTTTAAAGAGAAGCAGACGAAAAATAAATGGACGTGGGGTTATGGGTTATATAACGAATGAGATGTGTGGTATTACGGGCAGTGGTGCCTGGGGAGACCGTTAGTCCCACCACATCAAAAGATATGAGCTACTATTGGTTTTTTTTTGGAGGTTTTAATGCTGCCCGGGAAGCTGCCCGTTAGTTGACAGGGTGGCTGCTTGTCTTTGGATGTCACACAGCTGTAGCCAACGATTTATGTATTTTTTAACTGGCGGAATTAATAGGATCGTTCATTCTTAGTAGAGATATATATTAAACGAGTTCTGATAGAGAGTGTTTCCTCTAAATAGGCATATGCAGCAGGAATTTGAATTAGCCGGTGCCATATGTCAAAACCGGAGGCCAGGTGGGATAAAAAAAAATGTACTCCTATTTTCTAGTTGAATATGTAAGTTCTATTTTAGAAGATGTTAAAAGTTAATGTCTAAATTTTGCTCAAAGAAATTGTTGTACTTTGATTCTCGACATTCCGTTAAGAATTCATATCATATTTAAAAGGGTAAAAATTAAAAGTTATTGGGTGGAGGAGTGGTGTATTGAGCTGTCTGGATTATATGGATGATTTTCTCAGCTGTCAAATATGTCTTTGTGAACTATATGGCCTACGGGTGGCGTACGGGTGGGTGATTGATCACGCCCAACTATGCCTTGTAAAAAGGACTTAGCGATCGTTATAAATATATTTCGATTAATAAATCCAGAGTCGAATCCCACAGGGAATTAACCTATTAAACACAGCTACTAGACTCACACAAATTCACGCAATCAATCTTCAGAAATATTTAAGTAACAAATTTGATGTTTACTAACTAAATATCTCGTAATGAAAATGCAATAATTAATAACTAACTACGAACGGGTTGTAGACAAGAATTGGAATGATCTAAGGTTATGATTTCTCTTATTGTCGGAATTCTTTCCGCTACGTTTTCTATAAATTTGCCTAAGTTTTCTCTACCGATCATGAACGCTCTGAGTGTTGTAATTCTCTCCCGAGTAACTATCACAATTTATTAGACATATTCTCCCGAATTACGCTAGCTGGCATTAAATACGGCTCACTCGGATCGCACCAAGATTTCGTTATCCCTAATCCCACCTTTAAACCCTCCGTATTGATCCCTCATATACGTTAGGAGTGATGTTGTTCAACAATTACCTAAATATGTACTCTCTCCCGAGTAATACACACTAAATAGGCACAGTCGATTGAGGGCCCTTCAATCAACAACAATAATAATATAGTTGAACAAATAGAGAAAATACTACGATAAATCTATATTAACGTAACAGAAAAATCATCCTCCAATAGGTTCCATCAAAATCATAGATTAGGAGTTTAGCTACTCATACTCATAGTAACAATATCCCAGATGTTTTGCATAATTAAATTACAAAGTAAAGATGAAAGGATGTAGAAATCAATGATTCTAATTCCCGACAGTTGTTTCACGAGCTATCCTTGCCTCCGGTTGCAAAGCTCCTTCAAAAGTGGCATTTATGTCTATTTATATGTGTAGGAAAAGACCTAAACGACATAGGCCAAGTCCTAGTCAAACCAGGAGACGAAATAAGCCTTTAAAGTTCGGAGTGTGCGCGCCTCAGACCTCGCCTTGCGAGGCTTCACGCGAGCAGGACCTCGCCCCAGACCTGGCGTCGCCAGCCTTAACGCAAGGTGGACCTCGCCTCCTTCCTCGCCTAGCCAGCTCCCATGCGAGCTAAAAGGCTCGTTCAGCCAGCTCCCACGCGAACTATTAAGCTTGCTTCGCCAACTTTCTCATTTATCCGCTGCTCATTTCTTTCTTTCTTCTTTTCAACTGTTTTCGAGCACGCTTTATACTTTAATTATTCCTTTTGCTCTACTTTCATCCACAATTCTCCTACACATAAAATAGACTCTATTACGCATAAATAAAGTGTAGTTTATCATTAAAGCATACAAAATGCAAGGCAAATAATATACTAAAATATGGAATTATAGCCACACATCAATACCCCACACTTAAACATTGCTCGTCCTCGAGCAATCAAACTACACTTATAGACACAACTTTTTTAAGCAATTCCCTTAACTCATCACACCAAGAATCTTTAAAATAGTCTAAGCACAAAGGTGTAACATCCTCACCTCAAGATTTGACTCATAAATACCATGTCTTATTCACAATTCACTTACTTACTCTAACATGTAGGTCAACGACATTTCCTTTCCTTTATGAATCACGTGCCCTCACCCAACAAAGAGTTTAGTTCCACACACAATGAATTTTAAGAACGTAGGAACTCAATATAGGAAAAATTTACTCGCTCTCATAAATAACATTCATATGCCACAAATGATGCACCATAGGCTTGCCCGTAGTGTAATACTCTACTAATCGAGCTCATTCAGTCTAGGATCAAGTAGGACTTTAATTGGTTGTACTGTAGGTTGCGGGTCGGGTAAGATACATTTGGATATGAGTGACTACACCTCCCTTAAACACTTTAATACATATACTTTAATACTACAACCCATACTTATGTTAAACCAGAATTCCACCTTCACTTCAATTTATATTACCACATACTTCTTTAAGCACAAGTATATCACTAGCCATCACCATCAAGAATTATTTTTCATACAATACAACTATTTTTTTTTCTTCTTTTTTTTTCTTTGAATCCAAGTGGCTTTTATTGACATATTTTTTCTTTCTTTCTTTCAAACGGTGCACCTTTCTCCTTATTTCATTTGTTCCGCTCAAAATCCAAACCACCACCCCACACTTTAACTTTTACATAATTCATCATAATTCAAGTACTCATGAGAGGTGACAAGGTTCAAATATATGGTCGATTCAAACAAAGGGGTACAACTTCTAATGTGGTTACCAAAGAAACATGATTATAGTCTCAAAGGGGTTAACTACATTATATGACATTCAAGCGGGTAAACTCTATATATCTGGCTCAACAAAGAAACGCCTATATCACTTCCCATATGAACAAGACTACCATTTCGCTTTGCACACACAGGGGGCAAGTTCTAGACATCAAATGCAATGCACTAAATACATACAAACATCACACAAACATGGCACATAACTCACTCAGGATTGGTTTTATCACGACACTCCAGTCAAAGAAGTAAAATAAATTTAAGAATCTACGATTTAAGGTACTTATACTAGAGTCAAAAACTGAGCCCAAGCGTCACAACCAGAGTACTAACTATTCTCAAGGCATAACAAAGTTAAGAGATATCGCTACAATTCAATTCATAGCCCAGTGATTTCTGCTCCTAAAAATTAAAACTAACTACACCCGATTCAAATAAAACTCTTGGAAAAGAACCACGGCCCAAAGAAAAATCAAAGGAGAATTACTACACTACCTACAAGAAAATCTTTTTTTTTCTTTAGACTTAATTCCCTCAAGAAAACTGCCTAGGAGATCCATCATCGGGAAGAGTCTAATTTTTTTCTACTTTTTTTTAAAGGCCGAGACGACACTAACTAAAAACAAATATCTAAAACAAGACCAATTTTTTTTTTACAAGTTCCCACCCCACACTTATTTCATGCAATGTCCTCAGTGCATGCACAACTAACAAAACAAGAATAAAATGAGTAGGGTGTAGGAAAAACTCCCTGATCAAGCTGCGTCCTCGCCCTCATACTCTGAGGCTACCCACTCCTCATCTTGTGCTTCCTCCTCCTCATCATAATTATCCTCATCATCTGACTGCTCCGGCTCGGCCTCGGACTGCTCAGGTGTGTTAACATCCTCGTCCTCAGGGAGTCTGTATCCATTACCTATCCCAACCAGCTACTGGGCATGAGCATTGAGCGGGTACCGCTGCTCCAGTATGGCCTTCTCCTCTGTAGTGGCCGGTCGTCCCCCTATCCGAAGCTACAAGTCCATCATCCCATATAAATGGGCCATAAAGTTGTCATCGCGTGCATTGCGCTCAGCCCCTGTCAGTGAAGTTGTGGTATTCTCCTTCTTAACCCAGAAATGTTTTAGGTCAGTTGGTCTTATGGGTGGAACAATGATGTGATCGAACTCCTTCTCCTCCACCACTTCTACTTTCCGCAAGTACTAAGTTACCATGTTTGCAAAGGGCATTCGGTCAATTTTCTTGCTAGTTCGCACTTGGGTCATCTGATAATGTAGCAAGTGGCCCACATTCACCCTTTGACCCGTCATTAAGAAATACAACACACAAGTCCTCTCACGGCTAATGAGAGTGTCATGGCTGCAAGGTAGGAGCCGTGAATTGATCAACTTCAACCATACTTGCGCTTCTGCCTTCATATTCTTCTTTGGGAACTTCCTATGGCGGTTAGTTTTCTTATCCGGCACCCAAGCCACCACAGAGTTGACACCACAAAGAGTGTGTCTCAGCTCTCGATAAGTAGGACGGACTATGAAGTGGTCCAAGGGTTCCCCAGGAACACCCGGAGCACCTAAGAAATTGTATATTGCCGAGGCTAAAAAATCTATCAACCTTCCAAGAATCGGCACCAGCTGTTTAGGATCCTCTAGATCAAACCCAGCATAAAATTCCCTCACAAGATTGACGTTGATCTCTCCAGAGTTTCGGAACACATAGCTCAACCCAACTCATTGATGCCTCTCCAAATAGCATGGTACTTGGCTTTCAAGCGACGCTCATGAATAGTAGCTTACAGATGTATATGTTTTTGCCTACAATGCTTGTACCAATCCTTAACATGTGGGGGTATGATTTTTATTCCAAATTCCCGTTGGCCCTGAGGTTGTGGACGGGTGACTGCAATAGCTGCAACTGCTCTTAGTCCTTCACCTTGACTGGAAGTAGCTTCCCCCCCTTTTCTCTTCTTCTGGGGAGGTGCGGAAGTAGCTTTAGCCTTAGACGGAGCAGTGGATATGGCTTTGCCTTTACCAGTGTCTTTTCTTGGAGGCATATTTGTACCTACACAAGTGAGCATACATCAGTTTAAGCGGTATTGCAACCTCTCAAAACATGGTCTTGCCACCCACACTTAGAGTTTAACACATGATTATCAACAGTTTCCGAAGTTACTCAGACTTCACCTCATCGT